AAGAAAAACGAGGGTGCGAGGCTGAACTCAAATTACGTGGGATCATTGGATCTCGATCGAACGGAGCAGCCAGCGGCGTCATCTACGCGTGGAGCAATCGGAGCTATCGCTCGGCCCATCTCTTAGAAGATCGTGGTATCACCGCGGATCTCCGGGATGAATCCAGGATCTCCAGGGTGCGAATCAATGAGGGCATCCCCTGCGGTCCCCAGCATTTCAGTTGACGACATCGATGAACATCTCCCGGAACTCCACAGGATTCCCTTGTGCATCCGAAACATAGTAAATAGAATTCCACTCGAATTCTGAACGAAGAACGGAGAATGAAATCTATTAGAAGACATTCATTTCGGACCGCAACGGTTTTTGTGTGCTCCGAATTCTCATGTGAGCCTGCAGTCGGTGCCGCTGTCGCCGCCATCACCGGCATTAAACGATTACGTGAGCCAGCCTAATTTAGCGCTAACGACTAGCTGAAACTAAATGCACCCCACTCGCACGCACTCTTATATTGGCTCAGCAGCCTGCTAACATGAGAAGCTAAAACGCTTCTCAGCACACCATTCGAGCTCCGCCGTATTTTGTGCTCTTCGAGCTTCCGCTGATGAATGTTCAGGTACATTAGGTTGGGGGAAGCATCGAAAAGCCTGCGAAGTATCGCTGCCTCCACGACGCCGACGTCATGCTTTCCTTCGAGAGAACATATCAGGGACCTGCTGTGACGTAGTACTGCCGCCTTATCTCGAATGTATCTCCGGGTTTATCTGTTGTCTAATTGGTTTCTGTTTTTGTTTCGTCTGTTTGCTTCGTCTATGTGCCTGTCCGGTTCGCAAAAACGATTACCCTCGCTCTCTCGTTTAATTGTAAGGGCACTGATTAGGAGTATCCCGGAGTAATTGTAATAATTGTTGAAAATAATCAAAGGAGTGTTGAAAACTTGTTCTCTGGCCCACAATCATCTGCCTCTATTAGACGAGTCTCTTCTCCCCTCCTCTGCAGCAACTACCCTTAGTGTTGTAAGAAGAGTATTTAGGCTGAGTCGGCCGATGGAATTCATTCTTCTCGTCTGTTTTCTATCTCGACACGATTACCCGGAAGATTTTCTCAGGTGAGTACCCCTCCCGAGCCCAGATCTCCTCTATCAGGTGCTATGGACTCCAGAACTGCTGGAGTTTGGTGGATGATCAAGGTAGATGAAAAATGAGTTATAGTTCAGATCTTGATACCGATGCCCCACCAGGAACTTTCCCGACGAAGTCGGAGCATGACTCGGATTTGGCGACAATATTTCCGCCTGGCAAACTCGAATTATCCTCTTGGCAACGACTACGGCGCTGGCGGCGACGACCACGGTGACTGCGCGGCGGCTCGAAGGCCACTTAAAACAGCGCCTCGTCCGCCAGCCGCCGACCAACTGTTTGAATGATATCTCTTACTCTCACTGTCCGCTAATTAGAAGGGCAATTAAAGACAGCCGAGAAGTAAAAACACACTAAACATATACGTAAGTAGTTGAGATCTAAAGAGGGAGAAGCAGATAACAGAAGTGCTGGATTTGACTATGTTTCCTTTTCTGTTTGAGAAGGTTTCCTCGGTTCCGCGTCTCAGGGAATTCACACTCCTTGTGAATGCCTAAGTCTGGAGACCTGCATTCATTCCCTGCATTGTCGGGAGACGTCGAATGCGGAAATAAAGACCAACCATACGGAGAAGCGAGCAATGGTTTTAGAGTATGTGCATCTACCCTGACGATTAGATGCAATGAAACTGTAGGAGTACCGCCATAAGTAATCACAGCGGCTACTGCCAGCGCGAGTGATCGATGTAACCAAAAAAAAATAGTTGTAACAGGAATAGCAGCGGGTTATTCTGCATCGAAACCCAGGAGAGTGAGGAAGGGTGGGAGCTCACATCATTAAATGATTAGATTTTGGATGCTCACCAGAAAATCTCATCAGAGCATGGGCGTCGAGCATTCAACAAACGACGTCTACCACCACGACGTCGAAGACCACGGTGATGATGATCGAGACGATCGTGATGGTAATGATCCAAAAAAAGTTCATTCCATATTAAACATGTTCAGGAAGACTTCGTACGCGGAATGGTGACTTCAGAGAGCAGCCAGCGTGGCGGTGATCAACGTTCGCATACGTTTGCCTTAAATCCGACAATTTCTGATCGCTCTGGTGGGCTCTTCTCCCACCGTACACGGTCTATGAGCCGGCAGCCGGCCATACTGTGAGTGATTCAGCCGTCGGATGACATTCACATAAAATTGAGAAATAGACGGCATCGGAATTCTTTATCGTCGAAGGCTGCTTCTTCCCTAATCGAATGAGCGATGTTTGCATTAGTATGTGAGCGATCAGATGAGCTGGACCGTCAAAAGCGGAATGAGCACCGCAGACGTCCGACATAGCGACAAACAAAATAGACTAATCCGTCTGAAGACAGCAAAGAGAAATGAACACAGACGCTAATGACTAGGCGATCCGCGGAGGAGATAATTCCTCCTCCTGCTGCTGCTTTTGGTGAATTTCGCTTTTCGAGATAAAAGCTATTAATCACTGACTCATTTAGACGTAATTATCACCGCGCTTACACACACACACACTCACGCACTCCGACGGCAGCGCGTCGCTGGTTCTGTGTGACTTCGTTCGCCTGACGAAAGCCAAGAAGAAGACGGATATTCAAGAACGAAGCCACCAACTATCAATGCAGTCGAAACCAGCTGATAATAACTGGTGGCAGAGTCGGTGGTGGATGCACCACGGCGCAAGACGGGATCGAACGGGAAACGTTCCTGATCCCAGAGCAGACAGATCTAATTCCAGATATTCTCCTCTAGGGATAGATGAAATCGAATGTATCGATCATACGTCTAGCCAAGCCTGAGCAATAATAATTACTCTAAAAAGCTGTCTGACGAGGAAACTTTCGGGTCGTAATCTGTTCAGCTCCATCTCTCCGTCGACTCTTCGGATGTGAAAAGATTCTCGCTCCAGAAACGATTGGGGAATTTTGAATAAATGCTCCTGCAATCATCGTATCGACATGGTCGAGAGAGTCGATTGTTTCAAGAAACGTTCGAGTCGTGAATTCTGCGATCAGATAGCGACTACTCGGATGACTTCTGTCCACGAACCACTCAATTGATAAGTCTAGTTTCTTAAAGTGCTTAATCATTTCTCTCAACGATTCGATCCGATGGATTCCCTGTCTACGTTCCTTATCTCTCTGGACTAGCATGAGAGAATCAGAGCAGCGCCACGAGGAAGGTAAACAGGTAACTTACCAGGGAAGCGCTGAGCGAAGAAACGCGAATGTCGCGCAGCTAACAACCAGGGGTACAGGGGCTGCGGTTGAGGCTGATCTGGGCTTCTCATGAGGAACTGAGGTGTAGGGAACCCGACTGAGAAAGGAGCTCTCAGCGGGTCGACCATATCGAGATGCGTCTGAGGTAGGGGCAGGGGACGTCGAGGGATCGGTTGTGCTCCTCTGCTCTCCGGATCGGAGTCCGCACTTCCGGGTGAATCTATTCCACGATGATGCAGAGGATGGGTATGATGATCGTGAGGAGGTCGGTTCGATGGCGAAGGGGTGCGCGATGCTGGTGCATCGCTGTCACCGTCGTCTCGGCTCTCCTCTTGCACCGCTCGATTTTTTCCCACTATAGAATCAATACTGAAGCCGAGCTTTGGTCGCGTGACCTGAGGTGCTGAATTCACTACTGCCTGCGTTATTTCCTCGGTCGAAACCATGTTCAAGCAGGAGACCAAGTCCACAAAATTCGAGGGAACACCGTCCACCTCCTGGAAGAATCACTGGCACGAATTTGCGCACTCCGGCCCTCCTTATTCGCTCTTCCCTATCCGCGCTCTCGGAGATAGTGAGTCCGAAACGATGGGGCTCAGAGGCTCCTAGGCAGAGTTCTTCGCGGATGTCACCGGGGAATTCGCAGGGTTCTTGTTCCCTCAGTTTTCAGGCCTCTCGTTCGCAGTCAGACTACTGAATCCATCACAGAAGATTGCATCGATTGCGTCGCAACTCGCCACGAACTTGCACTGAGTGAACCGGCGAATCTTCTCTGAACTAGCCGTGACGTTCCTCTACGGAGCTGCCGTCAGTTCTACCAAGCGCGCCGAGGGAGCGGATTGCAGACAGGCGAACAGCCGGTAGATTCAGTTGGCTGAGTGGCCTTTCGTTGTCTGCTTTCGGTGAGTTTCGCTGCTGCGCCGCTAGCACCACCACCGGCACCACCACGGTAACTACTAGTGGATCACAAACACCAAGAGAACCGCTGCTGCTGCTGCGGCGGGTGTTACGGAATGAGCGAGCGAGCGAGGGAGCCCGCTCTCAGATGTGGGCGGGTCTCTAGGCGGGTCGGTGGGAGGAGCAACGGAAAGGGTGGATCATTATGGTCCATTACGGACATTGGCGGGGCTAAACGGCCTACAATGTTCTAAGAGCCCGTCGTCCGCTTGCTCATCCGCTTGCAGAGCGATATCGTTTGGCGGCGGCGCAACTCGGGAACAATCTGCCCCCTCGAACGGAGCCATTGAAACCGACAAAAGGAGAGGAACGACAAGAAAACAACCGCGCTCACTTGCGAGCTGGCTCGCCGGCCTGGCTCTTCGACTATGGTCGTTTGATCAGGCTATCGATTCGGTAGCTATCCATATAAGTAATACAAGAACGATCGCATCAAGAAATAGGGACTCTAATCAGCCTCCTACAGCAGCGGCAGTATTGTAAGCCGAACGATCTCCATCCGGACCGTCGTCGTTTCGAAATGAACTATGACGTCAGAACATCGCCGGGGTTAATTCTCTTCGGCTTCCCCGTCTCGTTGCTCGGCAAACGCTCGGTTTCGATGAACATCGATATCGGCGAGCTGGACGGATACGAGTCAATGACCAGAGGGTCAATCAGTCGCTATTCTGTCACCGACTCGAGACTGATTTGACCTAGACCCTCGTTTTCGATTCCGGAAGTGAGAGATCCTTTGATTGAGAATCCGATATGTGTTCCAGCATGCACGCGCTCCACCATCAATCAAGCGACACAACTACGGAGTCAGAATAGTTCCCGGAAGCGAGTTAGGTAGTGCCGATTCCCGATGCATAAAGCGTATGAATCGAAATTCTGAGGTGCGAACTGACGTTGAAATATACTTACAGCAGGGCTCCGTTCGGATGGGACTAAGAGTACGGAACAGCTTCTGTTCTCCTCCCTCGGCAAGACAATTGTGCAGTCGAGCGTTTGGATGTCTCTCTGATCATCTGGGTCCGCGCATATCTGGTACGCCGGATGTCACCACTCGTGAATCAGAGAGGATCTACAAACTTCAGACGAGTCTCGATTGGAATTCAGAGCTCGCTTAGGAATCTGGGAGAAAACGATCGCTCCCTTGAAGATGTGCCATGCTCCGGAGCGCTCTTTCGGAACGTACGTCCCGGTTTTCTGGGGGCTGCCATGCCCCGATGAAATATCGAACTGAGTGCGAGCTTCGGATCAGTGTTGCGGTGGAGGGGACGCCGACGGAGGGTAACCATCGCTGTCTACTCCAATTCCGTGCTGAGAATATCGTGGAGTCAATTCGCTCAAAAACGGCTTCAGATCCCTCCAGTATAAACCTCAAATTGCCATTTCCCGTGGACACGCCGCCGAATGGACAGATGCTTTCAAGTGGGCGGGACACTTGTTTTTCTGTGCTGTTGCTCGAAAGCTCTGCGTCCAAATTATCGCAGAGGAATTCCCTAATGAATTCTGGCATCGTTAGCCCGATTGACATCGGATGTTAGAAAGCAACAGCTCGGGTTCTGATTTGCTCGATTTCTGCTCGGATCTTCGAAAAGCTGCTATCGATTTCGGCTACGCCCTCGCTGTGTTGTTATCATGGTTTCAAGTCGTGGTGCGAAGCTACTTGCTGCCGACCCACTTGTCTGATGCCACTTTCAAGAACATGAAAGCAAGCTCCTTCTCGTGTTTCTCCCCTTCACTCCTATTAGGAGCTCTCGTTTCTGTTCTGCTTCTGTTTTCTCCGAGTCTCTGTCGTGCATGACGCCAGTAATGAAGCTTTATCGTCATCGCTTGTCGCGAAGAAACCTGAGATTTGAATGAACTCCATTAATCTAATGTCGCTCAGTCGTACCGTAACATGACGAACGGTCCGTGCTTTCGTTATCACGATAAAACCCGTCAAAAAAGACTCTGACTCTAGTCTAGGTACCTTCAATCGCTAGAAGCGAAAACAAGGTTCCTAAAAAACATGCGTACAGGTGATGAGTGATCCGATACAGGAAAGCCGCCACGAAGAATCCGATAGCAGCGGCGGGAGCTTTCACGAAAGCCATCGTAGGCGACGAGATACAAGTGAATCGTCAAACAAAATGGGACGCCGCCGAACGCAACTGATATCGATTTAATTGAAGAGCGGGCTAGTCAACCAGTCCAGAGCTAAATTTTAACGCGATTATATTCGTAAAGGGGAGCTTATCTACTCATTTCATCCAGCTTGTTCACTTCCTTCTACTCCAGAGCCTCTCGTGTCTCCAAACTGTTCCGAAGACCATCCAAGAAACCGTCATCGAAACCGACCCGCGGAGATATCGATCAAAGAAACTTATCCCTGGACCATTGCTACTTTCCACTGAGGTACCGCTGTGAAAACCCCGATCTCCTCGCACATTATGGGCGCGAGCGTAGCGGCATAGGTCTCGTCCGTAACAGATGCATCGGATCATATTTCAGATTCCGCCTGTAAGTGTTCGTGGATCGAAGTCGGACTTGCGAAGTCGTTCTCGATGTACGAGTAGATCCGAACAAGGCAATCAAGGACCATCTCCCACGGGATAATGAAGCTTGATGAATTGTCGCGTACTTTCGATAAAATCTATGGCACCTGTTTTCGACGCATGAGCGACAGACTGACCAAATGAAGATTCGCCTAGTCGTTCGCATGGCATGCTCGCTTGTTCCTTCCTTCTCTTCTCCGTCGTCGTTTCCTTCTTCAGTACGTTTCTTCATTTCGCTCTCTTTTGTTCAATGTTTTAAGGGCCTCTCAATAATTCGCCACCTCTGCCACCAATGAGGACCAGTCTTCCACGTCTTCGTCGGAGCAACGAGAACGCTTAATGCTCGCTCATCAAAAGCGCCAATGAACGCTAACGACTTTAATAAGCTAGTGGTGAGGAACGAGCTGAACGGCAACAGCGACACCAACAACAGAAAAAAAGAGCAACCAACAGCTCCACTTGATAAATTGCTGAATTTATTGTCTTGCCAATGACGACAAGCCCGCTCTTCGCACAAGTCTGCAGTCACGGCTCTGCACGCTCTTCATGCGATCTTGATTGTCTTCGGAGCTTGTTTTGGATTTCTCAATCCGAATACCACTCCAAATTTATTGGAGGCTCGGTGATCGTCGCCTTCTGCCGAACGTCGGATTTAGCGCTTCGTTTTGGAGGACGTTTCTCTCGAGGTCCCAATCCCTCGTGCCCGCAAAATGTTATGAGATCAGTGACGATCGCTGATCCAATGATATCTGCCAAGTAGAGCAGCGCGAATGGAGTTGAGCATGAATGTCAATAGAGATGCCTACAGGAGAACCTTCAATTGATACCGTTCCGAGAACATGACCGAAACGAGCCGAACGGAGCGCACGAGACAACGCACTATATCAAGCGTTGATCGACCATTTTAATGAGATTCGTCCTTTAATAGACTTTGTCACCTCACCGCAATCTCATCTCATCGAATGGAGTTGATCGGACACAATTTTCATCCATCCAATTAAATTACCACTGCTCCCCTAGTCCATGACGGGAGACGTCGCTGATTCAAGCTCGACATCGACCCGGTGAGCTATTCGAATTCAAATAATGTGCTCCGATTATCCGATTCCTCGTCCGACCGCGATTCGAAAGTCGGAGCGAATTCAGAAGATGCGTTGAGAACATCTTCGCCATCGAAAGCAGCGGCCGCCGTATAACAATGTTAGAGCGCTCATGATAGATGATGAGCAGCGGCGGCGGCGGCAGCAGGGGAAGGCGAGGTTTTCCAAAATCACATCTCGCGTAACACGAAGAGAAATTTGTATACAAATATTTGAAATTGACTTCGGTGGCTAAGAGGCCCGCCCGCCTCCCTCCTTGCCTTTTTCTCAGCTTGCCTGCTCAGCATTGCGGCGGCTGCTGGTTTCTTCCTGGCTGGATTGCTTTGCTCTCGTTCGATCGCTCGTTCGTTTCTCGGTTCGCCTGAAACGAGCGAATAGTCGACGTCATCACCGTTCGAGCTAAAGCGGAGTGAAGTGACGGATTGTCCACGCTAAGTGTTGACGGCTAGTTAACGCTTTCTGACGGATGGCTGTTGGCATTTTGAAGAAATTTGATGAAAAAGCCTCATCTGCTTGCACAAATACATACGCACGGGAGAATTACAGAACAAACGCGCGAACAAGAGAGAAGAGAAAATTGGAGGAAGACGAAGACAACGAAACGAGGGACCCGCTTTGGAAGAACAGAATCGAATCGAGAGGTGGCGGCGGCGGCGGTGGTGGCGCTGATCCGTAGTCGTCGTCTCGGTTGTCGAAGCTGCCGCTGCTCCCCTGCTCTGCTTCTGTGTTTGTTAAGTGCAAATCAAATTCCCTCAGCTTCGGTTCAGACGCGGTAAAGCATCATGCAGCGAGGAAAAAAGCTTTGTTTTCTCTGCTGCATCGACGGAATCTGTCGCGGTTCACACAAAGTGTTGTCAAAAACTCGCAGACTCGGAGACAGACAGACTCTAAAGGACTCGAAAACAATGTTCCATCGGGAAACGAGAACAATAAACAGCAGAAGGCTTCACCGACAGTGACGCTTGACGATTTTCAATTCGAGCCGCTTCCACGGGAGCGCTTTCCACTCCCAGAGAATCGAGGATCTGGGAATGTTCTAGAGGAGAGCGGCGGAATCCAACATGATGACGTCTTGAGGTAGGAAATCTGTTTCTGTCTCGGTCATTTTCGGGATCAGTGTCGCTCGAGGTGGATATTCTCGAGCTTTGCGCATCGAATCCTCATCGCTTTCGAACCGTCGAGAGCCCAAATCCGCTCGTATCGCAAGAATTGCCCCGACTGGGAATGGTCGCACGATCCGGACAGGCTGAGGCTGAAACCTATCCATGATGTATCGCCGTGTGATTTTCCGCATTTCGCGAGTTCACCAGAAGAAGAGTTCTCGGAAGAAGAGTTCTCCGGGAAGGCAACTAATGCGATACTCACTCACGCGTACCCCGCTCCGCTTTCCCTCAACCGCATGCCGCTCGCGCATCAAGTCCGACTCATTATGCTGTAGAACGGGCGCACGATATAATTATTCCTTATGTCCTAATAAGTCTTTTCGGGAGACTCGATGCCTTTATAGTGAGAGGAATTCTCGTTGTCGACGTCCGGATTCGAGTTCACGCCAGACGGCTCGCGCCTCGCGAAAGAGTGAAACAGTGGAGCTGTCAGGCTATCAGATCTCGGGTCAGGCCACTCCCCAGTGAATCTCTTGTTGCGAGACTTTCCATAATTCGGATCTGTATGATGGACGATTGGCAATATGGACGTTCGCTCACGTCGTTCCATAATTTGTTCCTCGCTTCCAGATTACTTGCATGCTTTTCGATTGCTATTTTGATTGAGGATATGTTAATGAACTCAATTATCAGCACTTAATAGCTCGGACTACATACTTGGGCGCAGCCCTGTATGAATTCGCATTGATTGCAGACGCGGCGATCCGTTCGAAAACATTCTTTTCGGATGCAAGATGATACGTTTCGGGACAGGTTCTATCGTTTTTGTTTGATCTTCCTACTGAATTATCTGCTCCACAAGGCAATGATTCGTTTATCTAATGACCGAGCCCAGCTAGTTTCGTCGTGCCCTTTCTGTTTGGAATCGATCGGAAGGAACGTTCGCAGCTATAAACTACTCATGGTTTTGGCCAGCTGGTTCGAAGCGAACGTCGCCCAATTGGAAGTCAGAATTAATCGGGTGACCGAAGAATTGCCCGGGCCATGTTCGTGCCTCCGGAGACGTGGCCGAAGTCTGAGAAAGTCCGCGGTAGATCCGGAATATTCACCGAACTCAGTCGAATCCTTCACCGCAGTTCTTCTTTCGAGCGCCGTGACCGGAGACGTTGATTAAGGATGAACATAATGTGATGTCACGGGGACCTTAAATTTAATTTCGTTACTCTTCCCTCCGATCAGCCGATAATTGATTCTATCTGAGCGGTTTTGAGGCTTTCGGCCGCTGAGTTTCAGGGTGCGTCACTCTTGAATCGATGGTTCTCTCGGATTCGCGAGACCTGGAGCGCGAACGAGTCAATTTTTCTAATTAGCGACTCAGGAGCGAGATATCTGTTCACCATCTCGGTGGTTTCACTGCGAGACCGACGGGCTAAGAATAATTTCGGTAGATCGTCGTTGGGCACAGGGAGCCGAAGAACTCTTGCTTCGAACTGTGGTTCCAAGAACCGGAGACATGCACGCGAAGTATGCACCCGGCTCGGCAGAGTAGCGTGGGGTCGCTGCAGACTCCCGATCCGGGGAATCGTCAGCAGAATCCTCGGCGTGCGGAACTCCTCGTCCAGGCACACGCTTGGTCTCAAGTGTCGAGGGTGGGAATATCACCGTATGGTGTCTTCTGGAAGAGCGCTGAAGCGCGCTCCTACAAGAGTCGAGCGTGTCAATGACGGCGACTCTCTAGCCTAATTTACAATGCGTGTAAATGCAAGGAGACGCAATCGGGAGACGTATCCCGCGTCTTCGATCGAAAACGATGTCGACGATCATCAGCAGCGGCGGCAGCAGCGGGGAAAGCTGTCAGAGTAAGAAGGAGAGGTTAAGAGACCACCCCAGGCAAGCTGACGTGTGCGAAGAAGACGGTTCCCTGCCGCGCGAAAGATTGCCCACAGCTTGTATCGAGCAAATATTGGTTCATAGACATGAAATACAAACGGATACGGCAACCGATGGATGGTCGGACGCACGGACAGACATACGAACGAGCAAACGAACGAACGAACCAAGCTGTGAAGTCCGAAATTAACTTCTCCTTCACCGCTGGACGCAGATGGTCCCAGATTCTGTGTCTGAGGTAATTGCATGTGCGCGAAAGGCCAATGGAGTGACGACTGATCTTTCCCGGTGCGTTGCCTTTTGTTCAAGTGTCATTGAAATAACGAGATCGAATTTAGTTCCAATTCTGTTTGATCGCGGTGAATTGATGCGCTCTACGACGAACCAGTGTTGTTCACGCTGCGATCGGGCTGTTACTCTTTTCAGACAGACACCATTACCGACCAGCGCAGGAAAAATTTCGAACGGCCAACGATTCCGCTTTTGCTCGAGATCGACGAGAGATAGCCATCGATGCACGCAGTCCCGAAATGGTCACTCGAACTCCCTGATGTTTCCGATTCGACACTACCGATCCCCATCATCGTTCAGGTATATTTTTCAGGATTACTCATCCGAGAATCGTTCGAGCCGTTCAGGCTCCACATGAAGAACGAAGCCTGAACCTATCCACTCCTCCGGGACTTGACTCGTCAGAAAGCGTCGGATCGGCCATTGTCGAATCATTTAGTGAGGAATGAGGATTCATGAGCGTCATGCATTCGTTCTGAAGAGATCGATCTCCCTTGACGTTGATAAACGCGACATAATAAATTCACCTTTGGAGAAGACCACCCACTTGGTCTGGAGCGTTCGAAATTATTCAATTCATTTTTCTTCCTAGCATCATAAGATCTTCGGTGAGAGAATCTCATTGAATTCGGCGCGGTCAGCCGGCCGTGTGCGCATAGTTTTGGCGACGCGACGCCACCGTGTTTGTCGCACACATGGGACTACACGTTGGGCGGCTGGCCTACGGCCGTCGAGTTCCTGATCGAAGAAGGAATGTTGCGGGAGATGACCTCAGTAGTGAAGAGAATGAGTGAGCGACAATCATTTTATAAAAGGAGAATGTCCGGACGAGCTCATGAGAACTTAGACTTGACTGGAATGACTAACAAGAGCCCGAGTTCGACTCGATCGGAATGACTAAGAGCTCGAGTTCGACTCGATTTAGACCTTTGTATCCGACACGGAAATCTGTGAGACGGTCGAGGTTCAGGTTAGGGATAAGCTCGAGTGGTCGCTCATGCGCCGCGTAGGTCCGCGTAGCATCTCGCCTCGTTGAATGCGACTTTCGAAATTCGAGCGATATCAGGCTCGACGGCGTTTATTTGTAAAGCTCTTCTCCAGATGACGAGTGGCTCCGAGAAAAAATCAATTTCCCATTCAGAAGTAACAATCTCCGGACGATTTGATGCTACAGTTCGCGAAACGGAATACGAGCACCAGGAGTCTTACGCAGATAACGCTAAGCATGTTTTTTATTCTGTTCTGTGCAGGCATCTAACTCTTGCTGCTTGGATCGCAGTGTTTCTTCAAGAATAACTTTCTCTTTTTCACAGGTGTTGTATTTTTCCACTGACGATTCAAGTTTTTTCGACGCATCCTGGGAAACCGATCGGAGCTCTTTGTATTGCCGTTGAAGAGTCTCCTTCTTATCAACGAACAGATGGAATTTTTCCTGGAAACAGGGACGTTTATTGTTATCAAGATCTCAGAGAAGATCTTCTATTCTTCTGTAGTCTGCCTTTCTTGATATAGCTCTACTCAATTTGTTCTTTGATTTCGGATGAGAGCCCGGAAGGCACTCGGCCGCACGACAGCGTTTTTTCTGACCATCTACCCTGAATCGATAATCGGGAGGGGAGCCTCTTATCCTGCAGGGGGTTTGTTCAAGGATCGCCTTGGATCGACACGAGTCGCGCTTGGTAACACTGCTGGCGCCCTCTGTGGAGGCTGGCGAAGGAGCGACGGAGCTGTCTACCCTACGGGAGGTTCTTTCAGAAATCTGACACCGGATCGATTGAACAGGTGATTCGTTCATAGAATCTATCGGGTTCAGCCTTTTCTCCGTCAAATCCAAAGATCGAATATCCTCCCAGCGACACAAAAATGTGTACCGGCAAATCGATGACAAAGTCAGGGAGGGGGAACATAGTTTTCATCGGAGTTCGGAGTCAATGCGCGACGAGCGTTCCAACGATAGCAAGCCGCCACTGTCGATATGTCTCAACTGACGAGATGAACGTTTTCCTAAGTCATGTCTCTGGGATGATGCCACCAAATGCAGAGTTTCCCTTGCGGGAGCGGACAAGCCTCCGTGTCTCCTGAGCGAGATATGAATAAATCAATGAGCAGGGGGAGGGGCTTTTTTGGAAAAACTTCATTATTAGGGTGCGTCACTTCATGCTTTAAAAAACCCAAAAAATGCATGCAGATATGCACTGAAAACGGGCAAAATATGCAGACAAAATGGGGAAATATGCACTGAAGAAATCGATCATTGGGCATTGGAAGAGTCGTAATTCTGACGTTCAACAACAATGCATTGTGAATTATATTCTGAAGGAGCTCGAATTATGGGTTGCAGAATATTACGAGGTGCATTTTCAGGTTTTCAAACGAGAAGCCCTGTCGGCGGTCGCTGAGAATGTACTTTAGACGGGAAAAACTTCTTTCGACGTCCACAGAAGTTATGGGAGCGAATTTCAAGGAGCAAATTTCTGAGGGCTCCAAAGCATCTGGAACCCGTGCAGATGACGTTTCTCTTAGGACTTCCGCAACGGCCTAATGACTGAGGCCTTCGTTTCGAGACACGACGAAATCGCATTTTTCGCGAATACCTTTCCCGATCGAGCCCGGCATCAATCAGAGACTCCGCCGCTCCCTCCTCCATTTAACACGAGCTTCTCTCTAGGCGAATTCGAGGAAACATTATCGTCTCGACTCTCGAAACACTGAGCTTTCGACCGAAAATCGGAGATAGTCGTAGTTATGCCTCGGACCGCTGGATATTACGGAGATTCCCTGGCAATATATCTGATAACATGCCTTTTGGAGGGGAAAACCTCGAAATATGCATTTTGCTCGAAAAACCGTCGAAATATGCATTTTCATGAAACATATGCAAAATGCATGAAGTGACGCACTCTATTCATTATAGATGAGAACAAATAATCCAATACGACGAAGTCGGAAGTCCCGGAGGCAAACTTCGATTGCAAATACGAGCTGAGGGTTTTGCTCAGACAGGAAAGAGATTCCGAATCCCATTCTATCTCACAGCCAGCAATGATAGAGGGATCCGTTGCTAAGTCTAGATTGAAGGTAAGGACCGCCGAACCTGAGCTTCAGATAAGATTTTCCTCTTTGCAGAGTTAGCTGGAATCAGGCATCATGCAACGGTACAATATGCCTTCGTCGGGAAGATGGGGTTCAGGTCACAGCTCCTCTCCGTCTGATTCGTAGAGTCTCATCCTCCCGTCGAAATCCATCCGAAATCTCCCCCTCCGAAGACAATCGTGCTGACGCTGCCGCCTCCTCACATAATTCTGTACTCATTTCTCGGTTCCCAGAAGTCGTCTATCCCTTCGCCTCCCTTGTTGGGTGAAGCGTTCCAGGAAAGTTTCCGGGGCATCAGGAAGGATCAGAGAGCCTTCCTCACTATCACACTGGAGACCAGACATTCGGTCAAATAAGAGATCACCGCCATGTAACTGCAGGCACTCCCGCAGGGCATGAGCCGGTTCCCGCCGAGCGCCGCGTCGCGCAATGAGCTCATTGCTCGAGAGTAGGATTCCGGGAGCGAAGTGTTGACAGTCCCCTTCATGTACCACGCGTGTCATGCAAAGAACTTTTGCAGTCGAGAGGTAAATCGTGATATCACCTACCTGGAGTTCTCGATAGCGTTCTTCGAGTGCGTGGTTTTCGCTGATCAGATGCCAGTAGATGACAATACCAATGCAGGCGCATATCGCGAGTCCCGCGATAGCGATCGGGGGTATTCGAGGCGCGCTCCGGGGAGTCGAGTATCGACTACTCTTTGGTAAGTGCAGCATGATTTTTCAGGCGAAGACTCGCCGATCGGGGAGGCTGGAAGACTTCAGCTGATGGACGCTCAAGACCTGAGGCTCAGATCGATTGCACGGAGTAGCCGAGATCGGACGACGGCGGCATGAACAATAACAAGCACGCTGATTTGCGCTTTCGGGATTTGCCGGAGGAACAATGTGAAGTCACGAGAATCGCGTGGGAATCTCGGACTTCTGGGCGTGGAATACGAGTGAATCGATCGGCGTCGGCTCGCTCAAGAGACGAAGTCCACTCGGTTTGGCCATGGACCATTCAGGGGAGGAAGGGTCTTTCCCTGTCGCTGTAAGTCAGCACGGTTCTCTGACAGTCCGACTGTCAACTTGGGAGGAAGGCATTCGATACTCCCCGCGGGACTCTGCCGTATCTCTCTCTGCTCGACCCGTACACTTGACGTCGAGTCAAGAGCATCCACTGTGCCTTTCCTCAGCAGACTCACAAAAATTTCCGGTCTGTTGTCGGAGTGCCTCGTAATATGAATGATGAAGTTCTTGCGTCGAGCGGTTTGTTTTGTCTCAAAAAATAACAAACTTGCCGTCTGCTAATCATCTGTTGTCGGATGAGCTCTGCTGTCGTTGTGGTGCCATCCAAATCTCAAGCACCATCGACTTGTACGGCGGTGAGGCATATACCTCGGCCTCATGAGGGGGGCATGGAGCCGTGCTGTCGGTGCCGGCAGGATCGAACTTCGCAGAAATGGAATCTTGGGCCAGGAGGAGAATCAGGAGGATTCAATGACATCGATGATCTTTGCTGATTACAGTTGAATCAGGCGGTCTCCTAAGGAACGTTTCGATTCGCACAGGAACCAAAAAAAGCGTAAGCTCCCTCTGCTGACACCTTCCACAATAAGGATCATATTGGAAGCAAATGACTGTCGCAATTGGGTTGCGGAAGCCCGGAATCAGCCTCCTGGGGAGATCCTTTGCTCGATACGGTCGGAAGACCCGCGGTCCGCCCAGGAAAATTCGCGAGTCCGTATCCCTCCGGTGCAGATGTGCCGATTCGAGCCCTTTGAGACCGTTGATGGAAGCATGAAAGCGTTGACAGTCAATTTGGCTCTACGAGATATCGTCGAACCACGTGCCCGTACAGCTGTGGCGACATGATTGAGTAAAGCCCAAACATTTGTTTAGGAATGACGATACGTGGAGAAACTCGTAAATCTAGCGGAAAGCATGCGTCTTAGTATATCTTGACCGCACGTAGGTGTGGGGGCATCGATTGGAGAGACTTTGAAGTCTGTTCGGTGAAGGAAAGCGCCAGATCGGTGACAGACGGACGTAGCGGTTTCATCCTGTTGGAGGAAAGGGGTATCTGTTTCCGTCGTGAGAGTTCTCATTCCGCCAAACGGAACATATCAGCGAGTTCGGGGCGAGCGACGTCGCTACCCCTCCAGGCCTCCAGGCCTCTTCCTAGGCTGTCGAAATGCCAACCGTTCTTGGCTCCAGGAGGGACTTTCCGTGATTTCATGCCTTCTACTGGCCCGATCACGAGAGGGCTTTGGTTGTACGCCCGGCTCGACCGCCTCCTGCGGGAATTCGGTCGGCCATGGTCAAGCGAATAAACCGCGGCAACAGCTACTCGGAGAGAATTCGGATACAACTGCGCCATTGCGTAGCGCGTCGTAGACGGGGTACTGAGAGTGCCGTCTCTCGCCGACAGAGAGTTCCCTCCTGGGGGGGGAGGGCAAATTCTGATCGTCCAATCGAATAGAGAACCGCGGGAAAGAACACGGATTTCGCGTTTTTTTCCCGAAGACGATTCCAGGGGGTTGGGTGAGAATCGTGAGAAACTGTCGAGTTTCAATTCACGAATGAGCTTCGTCGTAAGGATTCCTCTTATGATGCCACAGCTTGGCTTCGGGAAAATACGAAACTGAATTTCGGTTAAATCGCCGATGCCGTCGTGGTCGTCTCGCTGCGGCCCGTGAAGCTTTCGGACGTGGATGCACGTCAGGTTCCCCCCGCACCTCAGCGAACCTAGCTTTGACCACTCCTCGACAGCCATCGCTTTCTCTCTATTGCAGCATATAATTCTACCTCCATATGCGTCACACCTCTAATTACAAGCACCCGCCGGCAGCCCAGCAGGTCGAGCGTGAATAATTCGAATCGCATTTCACCCCAGTCCTCTAAATACCTAACGAGGAGGATCAAGGACGGATGCGGATGCAATATGTGGATAGTTTACGAATCAGGAGGCTGAGGGGCTAGGCTTCCAGCTCTGCCCACTTTGGAATCTCCTCCGTGAACGATCCTGCGAGTCAGACATCCGTTCGTCCCTGATAATGTCCAATCCCCAGATTGAATCCTTAGGTCTGTGATCAGAACTAGCTAGTGAAGAACGGGGAAATATCAGGTGATTCCAAATCATTCCTTATCAGCAGCATCCTGTGTCTGCTGTCTTTCGTGCAGGATCGTTCCAAACCCATTCTTCAGCAAGGCCGGATTCGGATTAGACGTCGTAAGATTTGCCCATCTCATGCACATTTGAGAATGAGAAGGTTTGCTATATTCACTTTTTCAGCAGAACTCGGCAAGCGACTTATTCTCTAGGGTACCTCTCAGCATCAGTGGCGCCCTCCGTGGCAGCTGAAGGAGCTAGACAGGGGAAAGAGGGCCTTTCCCTGGAAATGTCGTTCTGTGAGGCACAATAATTCCTGATTTCACAGGCAGTACAACATCCCCATCCGAAAGGTACATATGGAGGACTTCCGCTGACGGAGCCGTCTTATCTGGGATAGATTCCTCGACGGGAGGCATCCGGATCAGTGGAAATTTCGACGCGAACCAAGTCTCTCGCCGGGACGTGATTCTGCTGACGAGGCCTCGCGTATATATATGTTGAAGAGCCTCAATAATATTGGTGGTCCGGACTCTATACATACACGCTGACAACCTATGATTTCACCGCGACCTCGTGTACGTTCATCGACAGGCCATAGAGCTGAAATTGACCACCCTTTTGCTATATCGCCATCTCAAGCATTGAATAAATAATGCTCAGACTCACCACGACTTCCGCATATAAGCAAGATATGCGGTGGCTTCTATATAAATTGGGGGAGCTCCGGGAGAATATGGGCACACACATCCTGGCCTTTGCGGAGCCTCTTCACGCGAGAAATCGTGCTCCCCGGGTTCCCTCGGCATTAGGCGGCCGAAAAATCTAACGCCGATACTGTGATTGCGGGTGCTATGCTGTCTTCAAGCCCTGCTCGCCAAGTGTACCCCCAGCATTGTGTTTTCTGAATACATCCATTCTCCCTCGTTCGTGCACAATACCGTCGATTCACCGACTGTCGATCAATAAGGTACAGAGGAACACAAGAAAGACTTTTTGGCTCAGCAGAGCGTGAAGGCACGTCCAGGTTCCCGCTGGAATAGGGCTGGTGACGAGATATGAGGAAAGACACATGGGAGGCTCTATCGCGTTTTACGTCGCAAGGCTGGGATCCTCGCACCCGCTGACTCGATTCAATGTTTCCATCTCATCCTCATCTCATCGTCAGTAGACTCTCCATGTAGCGAACAGAAAGTCCTCCTCGAAACATTCCTGCTTCGCGCTGTCTCGTCCGCGATAAAGGCTTGTGTGAGCTCGCAGTTCCCAAGTGGACGATCTCCTCTCTTCAGGACACACACTCAATTCGAGCGGCAGCGACCGGAAGACCCGACGTGATTTCGATTATTCCACACAAATACAAAAGGCTCTTTGGAACCCGCCACTTCCTTCATTTCAGCCGCGGGCTGAACATCCCCCCTTGCCGCGCGGTTCGCTCTGAGGCCAGGCTCCGCTCCATCTGTGAGTTATTATCCGCTTCCGCGGACGACGGGTGAATCCCCAGGACTCGATCCAGACTAGACGAAGACCTTTATTGTGATACACATATTCCAGTATCGTCCGCAGTACTTAATCATTAATTCCGAGCAACGAAGTGTGCGCGACCACCCGTACCCGTTGTTGTTTCGGGCGGGCATGCCTGGCGAAGACCGACCGCGTCACCGATGACCTGCAGTAAACTAGATCGAGCTTATCTCATACTGGAATCTCTCGGCAAGATACCAAGCCGTGATCTCTCCCCACTGCGGAGTTCGCGAGAATGACCACAATCGATTCCGGTCCTGCGAGCCAGGTGGGAGCGGACATTTCCGCTCGGAAGCAGGGGATAGTGATTACCCTCTCCACAAAAGTTTCAGCAGTTTGAAATCCCGCCAACCGTTAACAACAACGGCGAATTTCCTGAAGCACTACAAGTATTCGGATTCTTTCTCATGGGTGAGTTGAGTTCCGTGGTTTGATGCTGGTTGACGAACCTCTCTTAGTCAGTCGGCTCAGCTGGCAGTCTTTTCATCGACGGGGCCGTCGAGTCCGTGAGAAAACCGAGAAGACAGATGCAATGTCGAGGGACTTGACGAGCACATCTCGGAACGCAGAATCGGTCGTTCAGGTTGAACTTGCTTTTATCCTCCCGCCTCAGGTAGTGATCCCAATCGATAACGAGAGGCTTGTTAATTTTCGAGGGTGAAATTATCAGACCCTCATCCCCGCTCTGAATGAGGCAGGTGCTCCATGAGAACTCTCAACTCGATCTAATGCTTACGATCGTCATGTCATTTGCTGACAGATATTCGTATGCCCCATTTGAATTGATGTGAGGTTTCATGATTTCAGTAAGATGCTTTTCGGTAAGCTTCACGTCATCAAACGCGATGGCGGCATGGGATCAGAATATCCCATCACGGAAAAGATCGTCATTGGCAGGTGAATACTCTTCCCGTAAACAATGATCTTATTTCTCGCATGCTGAACGGAGACGGAGCACGTTATCATGTGGTCCCTCCGCATCGAAGGTTCCACGAAAGGAAACTTCAAAATTCCCATTGGTTCCTTAGCCATCCTTCAGTGAACGTCAGGCTCAATGTTGAAAACGTCTCCGAGCGGCAGTGTCGAATCGTCCCTGAAGCCGCAACCAAAACTCTCCACCTTGAGGTACTCGACGCAGTGCACGCGACATCAGTCGGCGGGCAGCGTCTTAATTCGGGCGAGCGTAGGAAGCTCGAGAACGGGGACATAGTTGTCGTGGGGAATCGACGCTTCAAAATCATGTACCCCAAAACAAATTCCGACCGAAAGGTGAGCTCCCCGAGTCCGCACATATATCCTCCGAGTAAAAATAGCATTGGTGCTGAGGTGCTTTCGACTTCATCATCCTCGCGTTCCTCTTCCATCGAGATCAAATAATGTCCCTTTTTTCCAGCAACGGACTCCAGGTCTTGCTGTGTCAAGTTCGCGATCAGCGCAAAAGAAGCGGAAGAGCATTTTCGACTCCACTCCTCCCATACAAGCGAAGACCCCAGGTACTCCTCGGGACGAGGCCAGACCCGATCTGTCCTCCTCTGCAGCGACCGCGTCCACTGAAGGCATGAAAACTCCTCCGAAAGAAATGCAACCGAGAGCATCCCCGAGACAACTGAAGGGCATTCTGAGCGCGAAGAAAAATATTCTTGTCACGCGAACCCCGACTATGTCCCCGAAAGTTGTCCGTTGGGGCAGTCCCAAGTGAGTTTCCATCGTATTCGATCTAGTTCGGGGCCTCGGTCGGGAAATCAGAGCGATTCCGCCTCACGAAACGCTCGATCTGAGCCCCTAGAGCTGGAGTCTCCGAGATCAAGACTCGGCGGGAACCTATGATGAAACGGTCATCATCAACTTGATGATGGTATCATAGATTGTTCCGCCCATCCCTTCCGACCGCTGCAGGGTAACTGGCATTATTAAACTCTGAAATCGCTAATTTTGCATCCCTCTCCCAAGGTACAAATCACCTTCATCCCCTGGGACGAAACCGACCAAAGCGCCTCGGAATAGTACACCAGCTATCGTAACGCGATCCCCTGTCGTGGCTATGAGGAAACGCAGTTTCGGCACATTGGACGAAAAAATCAAGAAACTCGCTGCTCTTCCCGCGCGCCGTAGAAGTTCCACCGGTCCGAGCGCCAAGCCGGACACTTCAATTGTTGACGAAGTGCCCGAAACGCCTGAGACTTCTCACCTCGTGACGGATGAGCTCTCTGCTGTCACAGACACTCCGAAACATGACTTGATCATCGCAACGACCGCCCGTCGATCTTCAGGAGCATCGTCTTCTTCAGAAAAGCAACGAAATTCCGCCAAGATGAGCCTCTCCAGTTCCCGACGATCCGAACCGATAAAGGCACCATCGATTGCAACTCCCAATTCATCGAAGAGGTTTAGCACTTCTAATCTCTCCACGGTTTCGTCCACATCCAGCGCGTCCCGTAGGAGTCGATCCAATCAGAGCTTCAGGGTTTCGCCCATCGCGACCCCAAATGCCGTCGGGCTGAAACGATTGTGTTCTAAATCTCTGAGGGTTTCATCGAGTCGATCGTCGACCTCTTCGACATCTTCTCGCAAGTCCCGGCAAAGTTTCAGGGTCTCTCCTTCCGTTGCGGAAGTTCTCTCTTCGACTATGGCTGCGAGCCCTAATCTTGTAGCGAATGGGACGACTCAGCCTGTCGACTCGTTTGGTAGCCTCAGCGTCTCGGAGGCTGATCTGTCAATGTTCGACGGAACTTTGATAAACGATGCTAATGAGAACTCGACTCTCAAAGAGAGGAGATCCTCCGGATCCTCGTCCAGACAGAGGAATCGTGTCAGTCGCTCTCCGAAAGGTGAATCCCTCATGGAAGTGGATGAGTTCGCAGTAGGTGCTGAAACAGAGCTGGAGACTCCGGTGGGAGAAACTCCCGAAATTCCTCAAGCAGCCGACAATGAAGTCGACGCAGATTCTGCGTCTGTATCCTCCCGAAGGAGCAGTCGACTGTCCAGCGCGTCCTCGGGTAAGGTATCTGAGAACGCCGCCCCCGCGAACGAAGCCGGGACGGCTGCGACCAGCTCTGGGAACCAGGAGAACAAGGAACCGCTCAAAAAAACTTGGGCGGGAGTCTTGAAGCGGAGCATTGCTTCGGGCAGTCCCTTCAAAGTTAACCAGCGCAAGAGCTTCAGACTCAGATCGACGGTCAAGAATAGCGTCGCGAAAACTCTGAAGAAAAATCAGCTCCAGAGAGCGTTGAGCACTGAGATCGTCGCCGCCTTCTCAACGACGGGACACGCGCTTTCACCACAGACCATCTACATCAACAAGAAACTGAATAACGGTTCCACTCTGGAGGCGAAAACGACCCCGAAGCGAAACTCTTCGCTACTAAACAAAACACATGACATCGAATTGGAGATGTTTGTTTCTCCATTCAATACCCCTGACAACTCCGAGGCTCTGGAACGTGCGCGCGACTTTGTGAAGAGGTTGCCTTCAACTCGCAAACCCAAGAATCCGGACGACGACGCTTCTCTATCCGTCTCTCCGGGGGAAACTTCAAAGCCGAGGCGAAGCGGGAGAAGCTCGGGGACTTCCGAGATCGCGAACGAAGTTCCGGCGAGCGACGCTCGTGACACCGTAGAGGAGTGTGGACTGGGAGCGGAACCCGACACGACGAGATCGTCCTCGATCTCTTCGCGAAAGAGCACTAACTTACAGGGCGTCAAAAAACTTCTCGCGACGCCCAAAGAAGTCAAAAGCCCGAGAAATGACCTCGACTGCGACATGAGGGGCCTGAAGAAGATGTTGGCCACTCCGAAGCTCACCCGCTCTCCTGAGAACAATCTGGACACGGATTTCCGTGGGGTGAAGAAACTTCTTAGTACACCGGGGAACGTCTCTTCGCCCAAGAATGAGCTCGATGGCAGCTTCGGGGGAGTCAAGAAGTTGCTTCGAACCCCCAAGGCAGTGGCATCACCCAAGAACGAGCTCGATGGGAACTTCACTGGAGTGAAAAAACTCCTGCGGACCCCGAGGGAAGTTGTTCCGCCCAAAAATGAACTGGACGGAAACTTCACTGGGGTCAGGAAGCTACTGAGAACACCGAAAGAAGTCGTATCCCCTAAGAACGAGCTGGATGCGAACTTCACCGGCGTCCGGAAGATGTTGCGGACACCGAAAGAGATTAAATCGCCTGAAAATAATTTGGATTGTGATTACCGAGGAACAAAAAGGCTATTCAAAACTCCCGAGTGCGCAGAAGAACGCGACGGTCTCGGACCGAACGAGTCCGCCCTCGAAGGGGTTCGAGAGCTCTTGGATTCGGCGACCCCGAAACGGAAACCTCCGTCACCTGTTGAATCGAAAGCCAAGCGTAGGAAGCCTTCAACAGCAACAAAAGAGAGCGAGGATCTCCCGGTGAAGGTCTCTGAGAAGAGTCATCTCGATAACGTCATTCAGGAGGAGGAGTTCACCTCCAGATCACCGATGGCGAGGAGCCGATCAAAACGAGGCGAAAAAATTGAGCTTTTGGAGCCGCTAGCGGAGACTGAACCCACGAAAGCGAAGACGCCGACGAAGAGCGGGTCGAAGAAGACTGCGACGAAGTCGAAAGCGTCGACGCCTGCGAAGAGCAAAACGACGAGGTCTAGAGGCAAGAAGGCCGAACAGCCCGCCGATGCTGAAGAAAGGGTGCGACCGATCGTAGAGAGTTCTTCTGAGCTCGCTACTGAGAGTCAGAACTCCGCGGACGAAACACAGGAGAAGCCAGAGACGAAAACACGGTCTACTCGACGCAAGAAGGTAGAATTCGTTGAGTTGCCTGAAGCGAAAACTCCGACCGGCAGACGGGGCCGGAAGCCTAAGACGACGAAAACTGTGAAACCTCCAGGAGATGAGTCGCTTCCTTCCGAAACTGGACAATCAGAGCCCGAGTCGCAGCACTCCGAGATCGAAACGAATTCGAAACGAGTCCCGAAGAGGAGAACGAAGCGCCAGGCAGCCGAGAAAGGCCCTCAGCATGATGAATCCGAGACAGTTGACGAAGACAAGTCGCCCGCGAAGAGGGCCGTTCGGAGTCGACGGCCGAAGGCTGCTGACATCGAGACATCTCAAGGGACCGAAACACCAGCCGACTCGGCAGCCAAGACACGCCGTAAAGCGACGAAGCCCAAGACCGCCTCGAAAGCTACAGCAGAGGAAGAGAAAACCGAAACGACGATCCTCGATCAGGGCATCGAAGTCGTTGATGAGGAGGAAAGCGCGAACAAGACGAAGCGTCGCGGTCGGAGAGCGGTCACGAAGACTGAAGAAGTGAAGACCGGGGAAACGGTCCAGCCGACCAAACGATCCCGTGTCGTGAAATCACGAGGGAAGAAGCAAGAAGCTGAGGCAGGGGAGGAGACCGCTCCTGAAGCCGCGACCGAGTCTGCCTCTGAATCAGTAGTGGCAGACATCGCTTCGGAAAAGGAAACCAAGAGCAGGAGCAGAAAGCGTAAAGTCCAACCAGATGAGGGGAGTCCCTCGAAGAAAGTCGAGCCGAAGAAGCGCGCCAAGAAAGTCGAGCCTGAGGTGAGTCTAAAAAGATAAGGTTTCTGGATATATTATACGGAATTAGGGCAGATTCGAATTGTTTGAGGTCAATAATAATTCCCTCTCTGCCCGAACCGTCATGCAGTGCACGCTCTAACATCAGGTCCTTTCCGACAGGCACCCCCATCCACCTCATCGACGAGAGTGACGAGAGCACGTCGACGTTGAGCTCGCATCGATGGGATACGACGCAGCGCTTGAGCCTGGCCCGATGTGAACAGGAACGCCTTTACTAACGAGATTACGTAGCTTATCGGTTCCATTGCGCGGGACGTGCTCATTTTCGAGCACTACTTGGTAGATCGAATATTTCAAGAAGAGAGAAACACTCACGATCGGAAATACCATCACCAAATATGAGACGAGCAAGAATTTTGGGGATAGATTAGAAATTAACATGTAGTGGTAGTAAATATGTACCAAACGAAGCTTTCCGGTGTTTTTCTTCTGTGAAACAGCGAGTTCCACGAACCGATTAAAGTCGGATTCGCTCTTGTACTCATTAAAATATCGTTGTGCACTACATTTATTAACTGGACGGGCCGTCGATGCTGGAGAGCGAGCTGACTTGTACCCTCATCTATGAATAAACCTTATCAGTATTTAAGATTAGACGGCTATTTTCATTCGCCTGTTTCTTTATCGGTTATCGGCCCGATATCTTGGATCGACTCCTGAGACAGAGAGACGAACTTCATTTATTAACAAATTGGTTATCATTATCAACGGCTGCCCTCTCCATAAACACTGCATCATGCGATTCCCTGTCGTACCAGTAGCATTGCAAACAACCCTAACTAAGTGTAAATATTGTAAACAGTATTCAGACGGAGAAAGGCCGTGATGACTGCCAGGAGCAGGCAAATAATCGGAACCAACGTCAAACCCCTCGAGGGTTCAAGGATCCTCCCTCTCATGAAATGCTTCCCATATTCTTCTATTCTCACACGAACCGTCGAGCCGAGAAGTCCGGCTCTCTGAGGTACGAGGATTTGTTCGTAGAATTTGTTATGGCCGACGAGGTGGGTTTTGTCGGCGGCTATTTCTGTGACGAGAATATCGTATTCTTTGCCTATTCGATCCTTATACGGCGAGTAGCTATCGAACAATTGTGTGAGCCGCCGAGTCCGGTGCTTCACTATCTCCGTAGGTATTCTCTTCAGTTTCGCCGCCGGCGTCCCTGGCCGCGGGTAGAACTGATTTATATAGAGCGAAGGGAACTCGTACTTCGCACACAGAGACATGGTATCGTCGAAATCTTCCTCGGTCTCCGTGGGGAAACCGCAAATAATGTCGGTGGCGATAGTTATGCCTGGAACGCGATCTCGCAGGAAGTCAACGACCTGACAGAATTGTTCTCGAGTGTATTCTCTGCGCATTTCTTTCAGTACTGGATCACTCCCGCTCTGCACGGGTATGTGGAGGAATGAGTAGACTCGAGGATGAGATAAGATTTCAGCCATGTCTTCGAGGTGATCCATAATGTAAGGTGGATTTGTCATTCCTAGCCGGAGGTAGCAGCCTTCAGGTATAACCTTGACAACTTCTCTCAATAGCTCCGGCAGCGTTAAACCAATGTCTCGACCGTAGGCTCCTGTAATTCAGAATATAATATCGGTCACGACCCAAAGGGCATGGGGGGAGCTTCAAATGATGGGTGTTCGACCTGGGATCGAGAGATCGAGCCGAACCGACCTGTATCTTCGCTCGTCATCCAGATCTCCTTGACTCCTTCTTGGAAGCTCTGCTTGCAGCGTTCCACGATGTCCTCAATGGGATAGCTCCCCAGGTTCCCCCGGGCCATCTTGGTCTTGCAGTAAGTACAGTGGTTCAGACAGCCCGTGTTGATGGCCAGAATTTCGACCAATGGATTCTTCCGGATTTTGGGTAGACTCAGCTTCGCTCCTCCTTGCTTCTTCCCCTTGACCTATCGTGCAAGGGAGGATTTTACTGCTCTCCTGACGTCTTCTGGTATGATTTCGACTTGGGGTCCTATTGTCATGGCTTAAGGTGGGTCATCATGGGTACTTACCGATTTGGCGCCGAGCAATCGCACGGAATTCCCTTTCAAGGTCTCTTCCACGACTTCGACTACTCGGTCGATCTGATGCGTTCCCACGATGCTCAGACCCTGGAGGAATTCGGCCTTCGGCTCAGCTTGAGAAACGCATCCTGCGGGGCGAAACGCATTCTGATGCTTTGATTCGTCTGACGATAGATCCTGAGGAGATGGCTGCCGAACAAGGCGACGACGGAAATCTCGGGGTTTTAGTTTTCTCTTGTGGAAAAATGTCGCCACTCACCGGTCACAACAACTTTTTTATTCTGGCTCAGGGCCGATCTGATAGAATTTTTCAGATGTTCTTCCGAGGGATTCTTGACTGTGCAGCTATTCAGCAACCACAAGGATGCTTCATCCTTGTTCGACACGATAGGGTAGCCAGCAGCTGACAGCATTCCGCCCATGTACTCGGAGTCCGAAGAGTTGTGCGAGCAACCCCAGGTTTTGACATAGATTTTCTGATGACCTGTGGAGAGATCTCTGTTGCACTATCAATGAAGCTTCAGGTGAGAGCAGTGGCGTTGGAAGGAATTATCTCAATGACGATTCGACATGGTAGCCCCTCCCTCGATGAAGGTTTTCCATACCAACGCCAGTGAAACGGGATTCCTGGGGAAGAAGTCTTACCTGGCACAAAACTGTCTCCGTGAAATTCCTCCTTGTCTTTGGTCGGAGCTTTACGGATTATTTTCGGGACGACTTGACCGCGGGGCTCAGGGCGAGGGAAATTCCCGAAATCCAGATCTTCGATATCATCGACGCAGCGATCGCCGCTGGCGCCATTCTGCGCTTGCACCATGCTCTCGAATGGCTGACAGAGAAGAAAACTTCAGCAAAGAGGTTCGGGGCTCATAGCAATCGCGGAGTGTTCCAGTCTGGGGACATCGCGTGTGTTTGTTTACAAACTCACTCAGTGCCGTTCGCGCGGTCTGGAACCGTTCGCGAAAGAGTGCTCCGACAGTATCTGATCGAGAATATTGGAAGTGCGAGGACGTCTCGAGGAGACAGGTTGCGATACTGGAAGCTCGTGGTGCTCTCGACGCTCGCGGGATCAGGGGGCTCCTTCGATTCCGAAGAGCCATCAGCCATCACATACGACACATCTCCCCCATGCGTTCATTCATCGAGCTCTTCTGGCAGCTGCTGCCTTTGGCATACCTCTCCTCTCGAGCCGGATGGCGGTATTCTTGCCGAAGGATGCCAAAAAGGGTATATGGAAGTATGGTCCACCCACTCATCAATAGGTTCTGAGACGCCTCGCATTCGAGGAGGTTCCGACGAGGAAGATTCCCCCTCTCGAATGATACCTGACTGACTGAGCTTCTCCTGTACGTAACGCCTCGCGTTCCGACAGGAAACGCCCCCCTCTGGGGGTTTCATATCGTGGTATGAAACATGAAAATCAGTATGTCAGAGAGAACCGTGGATTAGATGAGATTGAGGAAAACGTCTCGCCAAGCAGTGATCAGACGTCATCGTTCAAGGAAGCAGGAAGGAGCCCCTAAAAGCATACCACAAGCTGGCGCAGGTGCGGCGCACGGGGTTTCCATCACTAAGCAGGTTCCGGAAAGAGACAGGACGCGGAGCCTGACCAGGGGTGCGACGAAAGTACTGCTCGCGATTTTTGTGCTCCAGTGTGAGATCAGACCGGCCATGGATCCTCGCCATAAATGAGGCCCTTGGACTTACTTCCTCGATCATACTTCCTCTACTTGTGGAGTCCGCTTCCAGGTGAGCAGCTGTGACAATTCCGGAATGGAAAGTCGGGAATGTATTTTGCATTCCTCCCAGACTCCCAGATACGGCTCCGGTCCGCTGCAAGGTCCCGGGAATCGGCGATAATGATTCGTATCGGCTGAATGAGTGAGCCTCACCGTCCGGAGGCGTTCTATGTTTGTTCTATGCTTTCCCTTGACGTTGATTTTCCGCGAGGGAATGGAGTCTCATTTCCGTTCTCCCCCGTCTGGATTAAATTAAGAAGATTCGCGGTGGAACTCTCTGACAACATGCTTCGAAGGATGCTTCTCACGCAGAGATCAGCGTCATCATCGATCTCTATTTACTCGTCTGCTAGACGACATCTCCTGCGTTCCTGAGCGTTTCGAAGTCCACTCTCCACTTATTCACCACAACTGATACGTTCGAAGTGCGTACCAGTATGGGTGCATTTAACTGCTCGCAAGTTTGATGTGATTCGATGGTTCGAGCTCTCTGGTCATCCTCGGTCAGCCCTACGGCGTAGAATCGAAACTAAAACCGAGAGGAGAAACTTTTGCTCTACTCAAAGAAGAAACTGCGTTTGTTTGCTCCTCCGATGAACTCCTTGTGACGCAAGCAATCTATTATGGTGAGTTACCTCCAGTATATTCAAAACTCAAGGTTCCCCGGCATCTTGACCGCAGAGTATTCCTGATTGCCACTCATCGATGGTGAATCTAGAAAGTTTCCTTATCACTCGAGCAATTTAATGAGAGTGATTTTGAGCGAGTGTACTCCTGTGGACATGAAGCGCTTCGCGTCGGCGAGAACTCAGTCTCTTGTGAATTTCATTGTTTCTTGTGCAAGGACGCTGCGACTCAACGTGGGACCCGAGGCTCTGGTGAAGATATTAGCAGTTGCTTCCGCCAACAAGCCTTGATGACACTGGATGAGTTCATTAGGAGCAACATATAAGAAAACATACATATGTCTTCTCCGCATCGCAGCTCATGCGATTTTCGGGGACATCGGCATCACATCTCGAATCCTCGAAGTTCCCACGTTGAGCTTCCATCGCCTTCTGCTCAGAAAGGGAGTCCAACCCCTACATCGTTAGGAATCATGCGCTGCTACGAGCCATGTTCTCTTTTGGGCTGAAAGACATCCTTCCGAGAGCCCCTAGCGTCTCGAAAACACCCGAGCGAGCCGCGCCCACCCACGACAGACTCCGGAACCTCGATCACCAACCCATTGGCTCGGAAGCACCGACCCCTATATCCTAGCGTCGGCGTCGATGGAGCTACTCATGAAATTCGCTCAAATCATTCTCTGAACGACGCCGCTGGACTGTGGGTGCATCCAGAAAGAGTTTCGATGGAGTCACCATGTTCTGAGAGAAAGAAATGATTGAGCCCGGATGGCGAAGGATGCTATCGAACCATCGTGTAGCCTCGTATGATTCAAATATCCTTGATTCGAGCTCCTGGCGTTTCATTTCAGACCGTCGGTTTGGGATCATCATCGACGGCCGAACTCCCGGATCACCTAGGCATTCCAGGTGCCGTCCCCCAGAAGAGAGTTTCATTCCGAAATAGATCTTCCAAGACAATGAGTCTCAGATCAGCAAGCTCGGCCCAGTCCGTAAGTATCACGAATCACGAGATCGACGTGGGGGTTCTCCGGACTTGCACCAGACTGCCCGGGAAAAAGTCCTCCTTTTAAGTTCCCTGCATTGCTTCCAGCAACTCGCCTTGTTCCTGAACTGCCAAGAAGTTACATTCGTCGCCAATGACCTGTCCACTTACAAACAATTCATCACGATCTTCAATCCGTACAGTTTCAGTGTTCGCTTCAAAGCGTTCTGCACATCTCCCCAAAAATACGAGTTATCTCTGGCGGGCGGCACGGTTCCTGCTATGAACAGTATTGATATCGTGGTAAAATTGAAAGACTCGAGCAATGTGGGCTCGGTGGATAAGTTCCGCTTCAAGATATCGGAGCCATCGAATCCCAATAATATATTGGGCGAGCGAGAACTTGATGTGATCCTACTGGCCGATAAGCCAACTTCGCACGAGATCCCGTCGGGAGAGAGCTTCCGGCCTCAGAGAGCAACGTCGCGTCCACGCGCAGTGATTCCCAACGAAAGCCAGGATTCCGAGCCGAAAGCGAACGTCTTCGTCATACTACTAGGCGTGTCCTGCTTGCTCAGTCTGTGCCTGCCAACAAGCGGAGAAGCTACGGAGTCGTCGATAGCTCAATACGTCACTCTCACTGTGAACCAAAAACTCATCGCTGCCTTCGTACTAGGGATGGTGACGATGGTGGTATTTAGAACAAAGTAGGTAGGCCGTGGTAGCGCCCCCGTGTACAAATCTCCGGTGCCTTTTGACACGCTCCTAGATTGTTATGTGATTACGAAGTTTTGTGAACGATTTGTGATGCGCGTTCTCAGAGAATCGATTTTGGAGGTTGAAATGAGAGCGAGCATGATTAAGAGTACGCGAGATCACATCTCTCATCTGTAAATGTTATCCACCTGGAAGCTGTAAGTTTAAATAAAACGATCATAGACGTTTTATACGAGCCTACGGTTTCGATACTTCATATTCTAGTCTGGTCGACCTCGTCTCGACGCGAGAGTCGACGTCACCGAGTTCTGTGAGCGAGGAAAGACAGGCAGGTTTGTAAAGCATTTCATTATTCAATGAGGAGCTCCAGTTCAGCTACTGCGCGACAATTGATAAAGTACCTTCTGAGTGAAGAATCAGTCAAGTTCGGCTTGAACTTCCATGTGATGACGGGAAATAGCTTAAATAAGGAGTCGACATAGGAAACAAGATTTAGCACCAACACGTTGCTGACTGCTGTGTGAACCTCACTCCCACCCATCGGTCGGAGCTGCTCGATTTTTGGGTTGAATTCTGCATCGACATGACTTCGGCGCGCCGCCGATATGACGACTTCCGCATGGATTCACTTAAAGTAACCGCCACACTCCCACTGACTCGACCGCGTTCCGGATAGTGTTCGATGGGCACGGTAGAAAAATAAATATACTGATACTGTCGATGAAAGCGAAATGGACGATCTGATCGTCGAGTCGATCCGCGCTGTGCTCTTCTGCTCGCAAAACACATGATCGAAACGAATTACTTCAACAATTAGTAAATTAATGAATCATGAAATAACTGATTGATCGAAAAAGAGACATATTGCCATTTGATTTCTTTCTCCTCAAGGTCTGAGTCGTCTGCCGATATCCTCTCTACGTTTCCCGAGTATATCCTGCTGATCGATGGTCGTCGCAAAATAGAGTGGCATCGATTTGCACTTCAATCTAAAAGTGATTGACGATTCGGGGAGAGCTTCTCCCCTCCCTCCGCCCTCTGGCTTCTTCTGGGAGCAACGTTTAACTCTATCTATGTAGGTCGTCCGGAATCTCCGTCGAATATAAGTCTATTTATGAGGCAATCGGAGTTCGGCGAGGCGTCGTTTTCTGAGAGATCGGCCCATTCTCTGATCGTTCGCAGCCAACGAATCTAATCGATGTCACAATGTTCTGAGCGTCTAAGGCGCTCACATGTTGTACGCAACATAGATCGGATCCAGCTGATCACTCAGGAACGAATCTCGTAGATGCATCCGCTGTTTCTCGCCCCTGGAAAAAATAATTAGGTAGGACACATTCCCTTAAATTCTCGATTAACCGTCCGAAAACGGAGGGACACATAAGCCGGATCGGAAGCTTCTGATAGCGGCGGAAGAAAAGCATTCACGAGGCGAACATTCACCTTGAGTTGATTGGCACCACGCCGGGATCCACGATAACGACAACGCCGACTATCAATTGATGTTGTTCCAGGACCCCTATTGTCACCAATGGGATCAAATCTAAGGCTTCGTTTTCAGGACCATCGAGCTCCACGACTGTCACCAGAAGATTGGTCCACGTGAACACCGCGCTGAAAATATGCCGGAAGGTCAGTCACGGACAGTAGTAGCCTCGAGCTCCGACCGAGCACACTCGCCGTCTCTATCGATCGGTCGGTGAGATTTTATCGCATCCGGTACGCACCATTCAGCAATCTTCTTGTGACATCTCTGGATGGTGGCTTCGATGTCGCATGGATGGTATCTCATGCCACGAAGCATTATCGTTTCTTCGAGCGCTCCCACAACGAAAACCGCATCGTGACCGTCTCCACGTGACTCTGTGACCACATTTTCTTCACCGCTGTCTGCAATTTCGAAATCGGGACTGATTGGATGGGAGCTTCCGAGAAGACCTGACAGGATTCCGACCCTATCTGCGGGTATTCTCTGCGTCCGAGGGTCTCGACGTCGGAGAAACCCAAAAAACGAAGATATCGATGTCGAAACGACGATTCGGAATTGCACGAACCTTCACCATCATCTGAGCCGTTCGTATCGCGAACCCTCCGTAGGAATCCGAGATAGCCAGTTCTGGCAAATGGCGTTTGCACTTCCCCTGCACTCAATTTGGCTTTGAATATGGCGTCGTGATCTGCGCCATCGCCGACCTTGAAGTAGCCGTTGGCGTTGTGATTACTCTGAACCCAAATTTCACCCAGATGCGAGTCCCCGCATTGGCCGAGCGTTTCCGGATTGGCGATTACTACTTTGACACCGGGCAAGAGCTTGCCCGACTCGAGCAAACACAGCGAATGAGGGGATCCTCGTTGGACGATTGTGACCCTGTCGTTGCGCAAGGCGCGCATGTCCACGTAGACAGAAGACGGATCTGGAGACGAAGCTCCTTGCAAGCAGAGGGCAACGTTGACCCTGCATCCGAACGAGGTTGAAACGGCTCGGGTAGATAGTCCGATGGCGGAGAAGAGTTTCGTAAAAGTCTGCGTTAGTACAGTTCGTGGTCGCTCTTCGGCCACGACGACGCAAGTCCGCACACGACTCAGATTGAGGCCGCGTTGCTGCAAGCGAACAGGGGAATTATATAACAGGGGAATATAATTTCAGAATAATTCAGTCGGCCGTCGTACTTCGTCACGGGGTTCCCGCTCCGCGTTCGGTTGCTCACCTTGAGCTCCTGTATCGATGTACCCAGTCCCCTCGTACACAGTTCCATGACTCCATAGGAACAGAACGTGTCCCTCACTTGATGTTGGCTCAGGGCTGCTAGCCAAAGGTGAGGGGCGACTTCAACCTCGGAAGGAGGTACGAGCATCGTATGATGTCCTGCATAGACAGAACTCAGACACCATAGCGCCAAGCCCAGACCCGAATAGGGTTCGAGGCATAGGCACACGTGTCGCGACGGGTACAGCTCACAGGCGAGTTTCATGCTTCTACACAGCCAGGTCGTAGCTGCATGAGACATCTTGATGCCTGAGGGGGAAAAGGAGAGAATTAGGCAGGGGGTGGGCAGGGGGAGGGGGTTGACGAAATTATTCCGCTGGGTCCCGACCCCGACCCGTTTCACGGCCGATTCTTCAACACTCAGGTCCGACACTCAGGTCCAACACTCAGGTTCGAACCGATTGCATCATCTGACGGATAAAGACGTCGCTCACCGGTTAGCATGCCTGTGGTACTGACGCTGAAGTCGACGTAGGCAATCAGGTCTGGCGACGGAGCCCGATACAATTGTAGACCTTTTTTCAGTTTGGGAGGATCATCCGTGTCCATCATCGTTGGCCACGATCTCACGTCAACCAGCGCCGTGGCATCCTTGCTTTTGAGCAGTTTGATCATTTGAGACGTGGTTAGTAATAGCGCCGATTGGCTAACGTCCACGATCATACGAACGGTGGGCAGAGTCGTAGCCAGATTTTGAGAATGCGGCGGACGTATCGGCACTGGGATCAGACCCGCGTACAGACAGCCGTAAAAGGCACATATCAGCTCCAAGCCCGCGGAGTACAGGAGGGCGACATTGTCCCCGGTGTTCACCTGCAATCGGACACGAGAGGTGTTCAAGCTCTGGAACGGACAGCGTCCGACTACCGCATGGAGAAATGGGCGTGCTTCGCTGCGGAGACGGGCACTCACCCTACCAACCTTCGCCTTATCCATCAACATTGAGGCAATTTTCTCGGCTTTCTTATACAGTTGAAGGCAGCTCAACGTGGTTAACTGAGGTGGTGCTCCCGGTTTCGAGCTCGAGTTGACCAACGTGAAGAGCACATGCTCCGGAGTCGATAGCGCTCTCCACTTGAGGATCTCTCCGATATATTGGTATTTGCACACCTCTTCTTCCGCTGAATCGGACAGGGGTCCCAATTCGCGACCACTGGCTGAAGCGAGTCGAACACCTGCAGAGGGCAAGCTTGCGTTGGGATGGCGGAAATCAGCTGGAGAGCACGTTCCGCCAGAATCGGTCATCGATCCCGTCGGAACAGAGCACGAGCAGAGCCTGAATGGGGAAACTCTCGACGCAACGAACCTTGGACAATGCTGCCCACCAGTACCGACGCGGGTCCCACGATTTGAGGTTCGCGCGGTTTCGGTAGATTAGTAACACAGGCATGAGGGCACATGAGGATATTGGCCGGATGCAATGAGCCCTCCAGGAAACGACGTTTCGTCTCCGGCAGGTGGATGCCTCCTAACGGTGTCTTGGGCAAGTTGCTCGGCGGTACTAACGCAAGGCAGAAGATTCCCACCTGATGAATACTGTCGACGGCCTGAAGAACTCGACTCATCCACTGGAATGATTCTTCTTCAGAACACTCGGGTCTCTGTTCGGCGACGACGACAACCCTCTCGTCGCGAAGAACTTTCACACCAAAAACAACAATACGTCCTCGGTAAATGAATTTCACGGGCTCCACGGCAAGAATCGTCGCTATGAGGTCATCGGTGTTGTGCTGCCTGCCTCCGGCCTGTATGAGTCCTTCTCTGCTCCCGCAGATGAACACCAGACCACCAGGACCGATGAACCCGAGGAGACCGGTGCGTACGAAGTTGCCGCTAGCGACGGCTTTCCCACTTCCGTTCACGGGTTGAACCTGGAAAACGCGAGATATTCGTGCTCTCAGCAAATTCCCTGGGATGCGATCATTTCGGGGAAGTCGGATCGGATTCAAGTGCGACATCGATGACTCACTTTGAAAATGCTCTGAGATAATCCCTGAAGACCCCAATACGAAGAAGCGGCAGTCGTTGAGCTAATACAAATTTCTCCAATCTCGTCTGTCCGACAGACTTGCAGTGGGCCGTCAAGTTTAACAACGACAGCTGTGCATTCCGGGAGTATGTGACCACAATCTTGTATCGTCAGCGAAGTCAATGAGTTTTCCAGGTCGACTCTGATCACGCCACAAGAAAGAGCCGACATCGATAGGACTCCTCGTCCAGAGGATCCCGCGCCCACTCTCCCCGGTCGACGTACTGACACCGTGAGACCTTCGGGAGAGCAAGCGCATGGGCAAACGGTCTCTGGCCGTAACCCTCTCGAGTGGAAGGTAGCGATGAACTCGTCGCACGACGACAAGGACCCTGCGATGCAAGAAGTCAATTAGATGGAGATCTTCCGAAATTCACCAGTCCACGATCATCCGTATTCCGGAGACTCCGAGGAGAGCAATTCGAGAGCAATAATTCGGATCCGCACTCACATGGATTGGCTCCGTCGGTGACCAATAGTAATCTGAGCGTTGACAAATTCACTTCCTTATTATCTCTCGTGGCCTGAACACCCCAATGAAGATCGCGGCTCTTGCACACAGCGATCGTGGCCTTGAATCGGGGTATTGAAAGCATCCAAGCAGCAGGATTCATTTTCAGCAATGAGTACGGTATGAACACAACGTGCATGCCGTTGAGAACACTCTGAGGAGACATGGGTGATTGTCAGGTAGGTGGGTAATCCGGGCACCGATCATGCGGGGCTCGATGTCGTGAATTATCAATTATTATTATGTTTTTATCATTATTATTGAATTGTAATCATCGTGATTATCATTATCATTCATATTTCCAATATCGTGAATCCTTCCGCTGCTGCGGAAGACGGTACTCACTGTGAGTACACAATGCCACAGTCCCATTTCTCTTTTATAGTCCACGACGCAGACCATAACGTCGCCTTCTGTGTATCCACAAGCAGCTGTGAGCGCCCTACTGTGGCTGACTAGGCTCTGCCGTGTTACGGCGACTCCTTTCATCGATCCTTCTTTATCGACGTAGTACTCGATATAGGCTGTGGTGCTATCCGCATGTCGCGGGGGTGGCTGCCAATCTTTGGGAGGCTTGGTGAGATGCTCTGTGACAAACCATTCAAGTCGAGGCCAGCCCTTGAAGTTGTGAACTTCCCCTGTGGACGACTTCGGCAAACTTTTGTAGCAAGCTTCCGACGTCAAAGCGTGGGATATACTGCAACTACCGAGTAGGAAGCCGAGTTGCTGGGTTGAGCTATCTCTCCGCGACAAGGGAACCTCGATCGCGACAGGGACGACACCCGCCGTCAGGCATCCGTAGAAGGCGCACATGAAGCCCAGCGGATCGTTGTTGGGATAAACCAACGCGACCCGATCGCCGACTTTGATAACGCAGCCTTCGGCGCCTTTCGAACCTTTTCCGAAGCGGTTCAGCAGGGCGAAGGCTATTTTCCTCGCGCGAGACCACAGTTTGCCTAACGAAATGAAATACGTCGTCGTAATCTCCGGGAGCTTGCTCGATAGTAGCAATATGAGCCCAGGACCTGATTAACCAGCACGTTCGTAGATAAGATTGGCCGGGTTCTTCCGTGAGCGAACCGGGCGGCTGCCCAACACTCACCGTAAAGAAGGGTCGTGCCCACTTTCCCGGCGTTGTCCAGAACAGTGGCGGCAGGGGCTTTCATTGTCGACGTCCCGTAGCGCTGAAGAGCAGCCTCGATGGACATTGGTAAACCTGCGGGCAGCTCGAGCTTTTCGCCGACCACGGGTTCCATCTCGGGTCCTTCCAAAGGAGGAGCCGCGACTTGAGCCTGGTTCGTACCTGATGGAAAGGAATCGATGACTTCTTTTCGAACTGATGCGGCTCAAGAACTAGGACAGTACTAACGTATCTTGTGGGGGAGTTGTTATGACCGTCTAGTTGGATGGAGAACGTTGCCTGTAGGTATCATGAATTGTGAATAAAATCCGATGTCGACTCACTGCAGTAAAATGATTCGTCATCTTGGTAGAACTCGGGGAGAGTCTTTTTCTTTGGCCTTTTGAGTGTTTGTAACAGTTGCTGGATTTTTGCGGAAACCTTCCACCGCGCACCGTCCACGGGTCCGTCTACCTGATCTCCTCTGTTGCTGTCGCAATCCCTGTCTCTGCTCGATCCCGAACTCGCTTGTAACGACTGTCTGCCTTGCGCTGCTGAGCTCGATGTCTGCGTGACGTCGGGTGGAGGCAGTCCTGTAAGCATCGTCAGAGGCGATTCGTCACACGAACTCGATTCATGTCTCGAGGAGCGGCGCATACGGTCGACGCATGTCGATGAATAAGGAACACGATCGACTTCAACAAGTTCCCTATACGATTCGTATATATAGTCGTTTCGGGGCGATTCTCAGTCGCTTCCGATGATATGATACTCACGCTGCCTCGGAGTAGGTGGCAGTGGTGGGGGCTGATCTCCGCTGATACCGGATAAAGGGGTATGGAGAGACTCGTGCGAAGTTGCCGTCGAGGGTGACGACGACAACAGTGGACGGCCTGTCGCGCTGTCCTCGTCGGACGAACTATCTGCTCGAGGGAACGGATTTTTTTTTAAAGATCAACTGACGATGAGCGCTATCCGGAAACGGGGGCACGAGAGATTGCGAGCTTACCATGCTGTAGATTTCTGTACACATTGGCATGCTGGCTGGCAGCCATAGAATTCTTCCGTTTGGACGGCATGGGGGCCCTGTTCGCCCTATCCTGAGCCTTGGCTTGGGCTAAAGCGTGCTGGACAGCCTCATGTCGAACCTCCGAATGGTATCTCGATTCGTTCCGGGTGACGCGGCTTCTGCGAGTGGCAACTGGAATTTTTGAAGAAGGCTTCGGAGTCGATTTCCCCAATAGCGCTGAAAAAAAATCGTAGCTCTCCTTTATCCGATTCGGAATCGCTTTTCTGCTGGTTCCCATCGGCTCGGTCACCACTCCTCAATGGAAACAATGCCTTACAAATCAGTGTAGCCGATAGCCGCCCACACCAGTCGCTGGACGGGATCGACAGGTATCGTGGGGGTCGATCATGCATGGCGCCAGGCTTCGATCGGGAATTCGCGCGACTGCTCCATTCCAAGGCATGGCATTTGATACAATACATGACATGTTCTCGTTAGACATATTAGTCAATATTCAAGGGTCATCAGTCTTCTCCAGTTTAGTCGAGCCGTCCAAGAGTGTAACGACCTTTTATCAATCACATGCTCGCGATTTCGAAGCGGATCTCGCCAGCGGAGAACGAACAAAGTTGTGAACCACGACAAGGAAGGCGCCAAGGCTGCTTGAGCTCCCGAATCGATCGAGATTCCGACAGAGAATACGTTCCCTTGCAAGCCCGCGAGGATCTCGATAAAAGCCTCCAACCCTCCAAGCCTTCGCTCCGTAGACCGAAGCGGGAATGCGCCCGAAAATTTGACCCGCGCCTCGCGAAATTTCATCCCATGCCGGACTCCTTGACGGCGATGCATGCAACGAGCGGTCTGACAGATATTGTCGTTCATATTCTTACCGGAAGACTCCGTGGTGTCCAAGAAAGGCTGGAGCAGCCGGCGACGCTTCTTTTCATAGCCTTTCTGAGTGATGTCGCCTGAAATTCCAAATATCTTAAGTTCATCATGCTGTGAATCGGGACATGAACCCATGCTCTGCTGGCGAATAACCTTGTCGGCTCTAATAAATCTGTCCGCTCGGTGACCGAGTCACGGTATTAACGAGGAACCCGATAATAACGCAATAGGCTTTCATTTGACGGATTCCAAAGAGTATCGATCAGACCCTGTGACACTTCAAGAGCCAAAATAAGCCGCTATGTTTCGAGCGCCGGGAACGTCACGATATCATCGCAGCTCACAGATATTTCCGCGGTCGAATCAGACAAAATTAATTCTCGCGCGATGGGGAGCGGTGATTTACGAACGAACATATCTCCTCAAGCGACGTATTGAGCTCAATGTTTTTTTTCATGACGAATATAGCTCCGACCCGGAACCACAAAAGGGCAGTTTCCTGGGAATCTCGAGCATGAGTCATTTGTTTAGCAAACCTCTTAGCTATGAATTTCGTCGTCGTTGTCGATACTGATCCGTTTCAAGCGACGGACGACTCCGTTTCCTCTGTCGTAGTGCTCGGGAGGATATTCATAATCTCCTCGGAGCCGAGGCTGCGTCTCTAGCGGAAGGCCGAGTCGCTCGAGTTCCTCTCGTCTCTCACGATTTCCGCATCGTTGTGGATAATCGCTGAGCGAAATCCTGCGCCAGCGAAATCTCCGCGAGCTTCTCGCGACTTCTGGCGGTCAACGCCTGTCAAAGAGGCTGGTCGGGCACATGTCACTCTACGAAGAGTTTCCGGTTCTCGGGTGAATCAAATCGGAAGCTTACGAACCTTCGGCCAGCTCGAGATCGAGCTCGGCCAGCCTTTCCAGGACATCTGGAGGGAGATGTAGATGGGATAAATCTTCGGAAACACTCATTTTGAGCCAGGGCGGCTAGCACTAGAGTGCCGCTGGTGATAGTGTTGCTGGCGCCGACGGTGGAAAAGTTCTTCTCGACCACAGTCTGTTCCTGCTCCTACTACTGCTGCGGCTGCTGCTTCTTCTTCGGAGCGTTTTTCTCGTCTGTTTCATTCAAACAAACTTGAACTCGGCGAACATGTTAGAAACCACCGTTGCGAACTCGCTACATGATTGAAATTAAAACGAGTCGGGGTTGAGAACAATCAACCCTTCAAACTATCAGCACCGTTCCGTCAGATGATAGCTCTCCCTTGTTCTCTCTCTGTGGTTGTTCAGTCGTTCGCTCGCTCGCTCGCACAAATAACACACACCCGAGCAGCGGTGGTGTGGTGGTGAGACACAGAGAAGATCCCAGTGCGCTGATCGGCGCGCTCTTTGAAAACCGTTCATGGCGCCAAAATTCAAAATCTTGTCCTTAGGAAGCGCCTGACCGACAGTAACGGCTCCCTGAGTCGTCAGAGGCCTGACGAGGAGCCAGCTACGAAACTCCGTGCTCGATGGGAAGCTTCGCTGAGATCGATCCCTGATGATCGAGGCTCTATGCCAAAGAACGCTCCGCGGGGGCTGCGAGGAAAATCAATTGGGTTCGCCGGAAAAGTTTCGAGAATTGTCCATTCCGAGTTCTTCTCCTTGGATGAATATCCATCCCGATCCTCCATCCCCATGATTTATATCTTTGACGAGCAGTAGCCTACATAAGGGAGGTTGGATTTCCCCAAGATTTGAACCGCCTCTCGCCCTCCTCTCTTCGGGAAAAATCGTAACTACGCGACATTTGTTGATGAGGCTCCGGGAGGTAAGATCCCAGGGAAGGAATTCACTCGCTTCGTTCGGTATCACAGCCAATCGAGTCCTACCAGGTGAGATGGGTTTCGGATCTCACTATCGGATCCCGTGTGGAAACCCTCGTCGGAAATTCTGGCGGAAACCTTGCCGGAAACTCGAATCTGGGATGCCGCTCCTAGCTGTTCAATTCTTCGAACTCCGGATGGTTGGACGTGACGACATTGATAACATGAAGATATTCGTAATAAGTCGTGGGATCTAAAATGCTGCGGAATATCCGAGAAATTTCGATCGTAGATACTTTTTCATCGTCGCTCCGCATTCTGTTCCGCCATGTTTCTGGGCGGACTTTTATCTGTCCACGCGAGCCCGTCACCCGGCGATTCCGGCCCCCAGGGCCGGAATCAGGAATTCCTCTCCATGAGGAGACGGGAATGAATGGCTCCTGAACCCGCCATAAGCCTGAGCCAATCGTCCCACTGGACGATGCGCTGCTGGGAGCTATCTCCGCATCGCGTACCGTTTCGATTCGGCCGACCGGGGGAGGGGCTTTCAAAGGAACGCGTTGGGTTGAAAGGAATTCTCTACATTCGCCGACGCGGCGGGCGCTCCTGATTAGTATCACTGCATCAGTCAGCCACAGCGATTTTGCTCTCAAATTCGGGTTATCCAGAGTTCGGCATAGCGAGCGGAGCCGATATCCGTCTTGACCAACCATTTTTAAAAAAGGTGGACTTTCGCAGTCGCTAGCTTCATGACGATGATTCGGAGAAGAATTGATTGCGACTTATCCGGATGCCCCTCGGAGAACACCGGGGAAGCTTCCGGGTCGCATGGAAGCAGGAGCTTCGCCGGGAGTCGAACATCACTCGAGTGATATTCTCAAGTAATGGAGATACGAGGAAGGGACCCATCCTGATGGCTTATTGAAACGCTTAGGCTCCCATTACCCTGGATTAGCGAAACGCGACGCTGCGCAATATAATCAGCTCCCGCGGAAAAGAAGCTGAACTAATGAGCCATTAATAATGCCCATTCGGCTCTCGAGAGATATCAAAATCAACGGATAATTCCTGGCGGCGCCGACGATTCCTGATCGAAATGATCTGGTGCACTCGGGAGCGCCTCTTGGAATTGCCATGTACTGGTCGGCTCATCGGAGATCCTCCATCTACTCTCAGTCAAGGAGCGATAGCGCAGATTTGGAGGAAGCGCGTTGAAGAGATGATCGACTTCGATAGATTCCCGAGATTATCCCTCACAGAAAGTTCCCATACGGAGGGATACCAAGAAAATACGCCTCAATCTGAGACCCCGCACGATTCTAAATCCGATGACGATACGTTCGATAGGTGCGCTTGCGGGAGCAAGGGCTGGTACCGGAACGGCTCAGAGTTCCACCATGCCGAGAAATTCTCATCACGTCCTGCTTGCTCGATGGAATTTAGCGTAACGATGGGATTCCCACAATAGACAGCAACATGCCAAACTCTTTCTGTGGTTCGCCGTAAACTTCCTTTGGTTGCTCTTGCCATCGGAGGGAAGACTCGTACAGTATGAGTCGAACGCCTACCTAAGCTTCCTGACTTTGAAACTGAGTGATAGATGAATTGAAGCTTGAGCGACTTCCCACTCCACGAGCTCAGAGATTCGGGCTCCATCTCATCCGCGGCTCTTCGAATCCGCCCGCGTTCTTACTGAGAATGGCTCCGCCCACCGTTGGCTCCTTCATCCCCGTCGTATTCCCGTCTCCTCTCGCGAGCCCGCGGTCTCTTGACGGCGAATATTTAGCGGGACCAGATTCTGGAAGACCCATCGGAATCTCTCCCGACTCTCATGAACGAAGACGAGTCGAGTTGGTTGTTAGACCTCAATGATGGAGATTGGATGGGGATCCGACAAGCTAGAGCGACGAAGTACGGGACCGGATCAAGCAAATGAATTCGAGAGTTCTCTTGAGCATAAATTCAACCTCTGGGTCGAATCGAGGCTCATCTGACAATGAGTTGATGACGATGACGCACCTTAGAGCGTTCCCGCTGTCATGATCGCCGCGCTTGCGGATATGGGCTCCCGACGTCTCGAGTCAGGAATCGGGGGAAAAGCCGCCGGATTCACGATTTATTATCACTCTACTCTTCCACATGCTGTGAAGCCTCGCTCGGCCATCGCGGGAATCCGCGCATTGCGACTGAGACACGGGAGCTCCCTGAACGACTGTAACGGACTTTAACGCGGGAGGAGTTCACTGAATGCTCCTTACATCCATCATTCATAGTACAAGAATGGCTCAGAATACTTCCGAGACTTTATTCATTCCGGATCTGATTGTTCGTTATCGATATAGCCACGTTCCTTATCTATTGGCAATAGCCAATCATCGCCGAAGAAGTAGTTGATTTTAACAACCCGATTGTTGCGATCGCTGGAAGTGAATTCATCGATTCATGATCAGAAAAATCTCATTTCTAATCGGAATGAAGTCCGAGACCGGCTCCCGGAAACTGCATAACCCGGCGGAAGACTGGGAGTTCGCCGAGATGAATCGCATCTCGGTCAAGTTGAACGACGAGAGATAGTGACCCGGAGGTCAAGAATCATCGGAGATCGGATTGATTCAAACAGTCGCGAGCAGAGCCGACCTTCCCTGTCCCGTTCCCAAATTGACCACATGTCGGATGAGAACCCTGTGCGTAAAAATTGTTTTCGGAATCTCTCCCCATGGTTCTCTGACTCAGACGCAAGATGGCGTTGCCCGTCCCGTGTTTCTGTTTCTGCTGGAGTAGGCAAGCACAGAGAACGACAGGCGCACGGGCGCTCGGGCGTGCAAGCGAGCAAGCAGGCGAGCTGGCTCGAAGGGTGGCTTGCAGGCGTGCGGGCGGGCAGGCAGGCAGGCAGCCTTGGGGCTCGAAGGACCCGGGGGCACGGAGAAAGGAACAGGGGGCACGTTGACGGGGGCAGGTGGAGAGGGCCGTGCCGTACCGCGGCGGCAGCAGCAGCGGGACGGCCTCGACGGCTGGCTGGCTGACTGGCTGGCTACGTCGGATCGATAGCCGTGCGCAGGGACCCCCTTCGGCCTGCGCAGCGGACGCACACAGCGCCGCTGAGAACGTGTCGTCAGATGGCCGGAGTGTCCCCAGCGATCAAGTGCGGCGGCGTAGTGTCGAAGGAAGATTTTTCGGGGCCTTGTGAAAACGGGTGCGCCCTCTCTTGCTATGTGAGAGTGAATGTGCTAGACCCATGTGCTCCCTAGGTCACGGAGTGAGGTGCCACCAAAGGCTGAAACAACTTCCCCACGACGTTCCCAACCGCAACCACCGAGTGCCCCAGTGCGCAATCGACAGCCCGACTTGCGCCGTTCTCTCCCGCTGCGCGGCGGTTATCTGTAGACGACGACGAGTCTCAACCGAGGATTTTAATCGAGGCAACGAATCGTCGACCTCGCTCGACTCACAGTATCGACTGCAGCAAGAGGAACCGAACGCTCAACTTCTTAAAGCGAGCGAAGGAAAGCCACTGAAACCCCTCGAGGAGGAACAACGAGAATTCGAGGAACAGAAGAGAGTCGGATCGAACTTCGACCAATCGACACAAAACGCAAAAGAGATCCGATCGGCAGCTCTCGGCAGCAGTGGTTTTGATCAGCAGAACGGCGGCAAGGGGCAACGAATCGAACCGAAGAATCTGTTGTTGGACTGTAAACGAGAGAACGAATCGCTCACAGGACGACGCTCGGCCAGATTAGTCGGCGGCGCAACGAGGAACTTGCGAGGGACTACCTCGACGGTACACAACTCCGAAAACAAGAGCGAGAGGCCGATCAGCCTACATCTACTACTACTACTACAACAACTACTACTTCTACTTCTAAATAATTATTCGACGAGGAAGCAGCGTGATCGTGCGAGCGCTGTGAATTTTCTTCGGTCGCAGAACTGTCGTTCGAAAAGCTTCTTCAACACTTTAGTTGCACCACTCCCACATCTGAACGAGCCGAAACTACCAACAAGGAAACCTCTGGGAGCAAACTCCGAAGTATCGGCGGTGAACGCCTCCACAAGCGCGATTTCATCGAGGAGACTGTGTCGTCCCTGTCTGAATCGGCGTGAACCCTCGCCGGACTCCGAGTTGCTGCGCGCTGCGTTGTTTCGAATTGCAAGCCATCGGAACAG